CGGAGCATTAGTCTCTTCCGTTGTTTGCGCACCCGATCCAGTATTGTCATTAGGACTATCACTTGGACCATGAGTTTCTTGTCCACCTCCCTGTCCGTCCGGATTATCTGATGGTTGACCACTACCTGATCCGTTAGGGTGACCATCTGTAACATCGTTTCCGTCAGGAGTTGTGCTATCTGTCAACTGATTGCCATTACCTTGCCGATTAGGACCGTTAACTGACCAGTTTAGGTCCAATGATGAGTTGTGATGTGATTTTCCATCCCATTTGCTATCGCTGTCGTGAACGGTATGCGATTTGCTACTAGAATTGCCATCTCTACCATTGTCTCCATTGTGATCTTTATGATCATCGGTACCGCCAGGTGTGTCAGTGGTGTCACCGCCAGCACCCGTACCATCCGGGCTATCCGTACCATCTGTGACAATATCTGGTTTATATTTCCCTTTCCACGACTCGTCGCCCGGACTGTCTGTGACATCGATTGTTGGATGATCTGTAGCGAGTATACCGTTTTCAGCCCCGATAGAGTGACCATCGGGCCCGTCATCGCCAATCGGTTGCATTTGACCACCACTTTGACCATCAGGAGGATGATCTTCTGACCCATCACCACCTATTGGTTCTAGTTTAGTCCCACCGCCCTGTCCATTTGTATCGTCTGGATGTGTTTTACCATCGCCAACTCCGTTAGGCTCACCATCTGTCCCATCGTTATTTGGCTTATGTTCATTCACCCCCTGTTCATCCGCCTGACCATTATGTTTATTGCCATCAGTTGACCAGTTCAGGTCAAACGATGAATTTTTATGTGATTTTCCATCCCATTGGCTGTCGCTATCGTGAACGCTATGCGATTCGTTACTAGACTCGCCATCTGTCACACTATTACCACCATTGTCTTTATTTTTATCTGTACCGTCCGGTGGGTGTGTGCTATCACTATCAGCACCCGTACCATCCGGGCTATCGGTATTTGCATCAGGTCCACCGGGTGTACCATCTGTGACAATATTAGGTTTATATTTCCCTTTCCACGACTCGTCGCCCGGACTGTCGGTGCCATCTGTTGTTGGATTGTCAGTAATAGTAGGTATGTTATTCTCAGCACCAGTAGAGTCACCATCTGGCCCAGTATCACTTTTCGGTATATGATTATCGACTCCGTTTCCATCTCCCGGCGCATTAGTATCGTCCGGATGTGTTATACCATCTCCCACTCCGTTAGGACTATCTGTGCCGTCAACGTTAGGTGTATGTCCATCTCCCTGGCCGTTAGGATCGTTAGGTTGACCATCTGTCCACTGACCATCACCTTTGGGTCTATTGCCATCAGTTGACCAGTTCAGGTCAAACGATGAGTTGTGATGCGATTTTCCATCCCATTTGCTATCGCTATCGTGAACGCTGTGCTCTTCGCTACTAGAGCTGCCATCTGTCCCTCCATTACCATCGCTGTTCTTATTCCCATCAATACCGTCCGGTGGGTTACTGGTACCACTACCAGCACCCGTACCATCCGGGTTATCAGTATTCCAGTAATCAGCATCAGTATGTCCTCCACCGGGTGTGCCATCCGTTGCAGTTTCTGCTCCCGGTTTGTACTTCCCTTTCCAGGACTCATCGCCGGGACTGTCTGTGCCATCAATTGTTGGGCTATCCGTTGTTGTTATACTATTTTCAGCCCCAGTAGAGTCGCCATCGGGCCCATCACCGCCACTGGGCTTATTTGCATCTACACCATGACCATCTCCCGGCGCATTCGTCTCTTCCGTTGTTTGCCCACCGCCTCCAGTATCGTCAGTAGTGCTACCATCTGTCACATGACTTGTTTCAGGTGTTGTAACATCAGTTTCCTGTCCACCTCCCTGTCCGTCCGTTTGATCAGCTGACTTACCACCACCTATGCCATTAGGGTCACCATCGTTGCCATGGTCATCGCTTTTAGGTTGATTGCCATTTGTTCCCTGTCCATCTCCCTGGCCATCAGGTTGCTCTCCGTTAGTTGACCATGATACATCGTACGATGAATTTTTATGTGATTTGCCATCCCATTTGCTATCGCTGTCGTGAACGCTATGCGACTCATTGCTAGACTCGCCATCTGTCACACTATTACCACCATTGTCTTTATTTTTATCTGTACCGTCCGGTGGGTGTGTGCTATCACTACCAGCACCCGTACCATCTGGGTTATCGGGTGTGCCCTCTGTACTAGTTTGGGTTTTGGGAAACTCCTTGCCTTTCCAGGAGTCATCGCCGGGACTGTCGGTGCCATCGATTGTAGGATTAGTTGTTACTTGTATAGCGTTTTCAGCTCCATTAGGGTCACCATCGGGCACATCACTAACTTTTGGCTTATCGCCGTCCACTCCATTTCCATCGCCCGGTGTATCCGCACTGTCTGGTTGTGATTTACCATCACCAACTCCATCAGGTTGACCATCTGTTCCCTGACCATCACCTTTGGGTTTACTACCATCAGTTGACCAGTTCAGGTCAAACGATGAGTTATGATGTGATTTTCCATCCCATTTGCTATCGCTGTCGTGCACGCTGTGAGACTCGTTACTAGACTCGCCATCTGTCTCACTGTGTCCACCATTATCCTTATGTCCATCGGTGCCATCCGGTGAGTTAGATGTACCATCCGGGTTATCGGTATTGACTCCATCTGGTCCCGGTTTGTGCTTTCCCTTCCAGGACTCATCGCCGGGACTGTCTGTGACGTCGATTGTTGGATGATCTGTGCCAGGTATATTGTTTTCAGCCCCAGTAGAGTCGCCATCGGGCCCATCATCACCAATCGGCTGCATTTTACCACCACCATGACCATCAGGAGGGTGTTCTTCTGATCCATCATCACCTATTGGTTCTAGTTTATTACCACCACCCTGTTCATTTGTGTCATCTGGATGTGTTTTACCATCACCAACTCCGTTAGGCTCACCATCTGTTCCATCATCTTTATGTCTATTGCCATCAGTTGACCAGTTGAAGTCAAACGACGAGTTGTGATGTGATTTTCCATCCCATTTGCTATCTCTGTCGTAAACGCTATGCGATTCACTGTTAGAATTGCCATCTGTCATATCATGACCATCATGGCCATAATTTTCACTGGTACTATCCGGAGGATGAGTTGCATCACTACCATCACCCGTACCATCCGGGGTATCGGTATTTGTCTCACCGGGTGTGCCCACTGTACTAGTTTGGATTCCCGGAAACTCTTTGCCTTTCCAGGAATCATCTCCGGGACTGTCTGTGCTGTCGGCCAATGAGGGCTCGGTTGTAGGTATACCATTATCCACACCATTAGGGTCGCCATCGGGCGCATCATTAACTTTTGGTTTATCGCCGTCCACTCCATTTCCATCGCCCGGTGTATCCGCATTGTCTGGTTGTGATTTACCATCTCCAACTCCATCAGGTTGACCATCTGTCCCCTGACCATCACCTTTTGGTCTATTGCCATCAGTTGACCAGTTGAGGTCAAACGATGAGTTGTGATGCGATTTGCCATCCCATTTGCTATCGTTGTCGTGTACGCTGTGAGACTCGTTACTAGACTCGCCATCTGTTCCATCATTTCCCTTAGTTTCATCGGTACCATCCGGTGAGTCAGTTGTCTCAGTACCAACACCCGTACCATCGGGGGTATCGGTTATCTCTGCACCGGGAATGCCCTCAGTATTGCTTTCAGTCTCGGGTTTATTCTTGCCTTTCCAGGAGTCAACACCGGGATTGTCTGTGCCATCTGTTGTCGGATTATCTGTTACGGGTATACCGTTTTCAGCCCCATTAGGGTCACCATCGGGCACATCACTGCCTTTGGGTTCATTGCCATCAGCTCCCTGTCCACCACTCTGGCCATTAGGTTCTTCTGTTGTCTGTCGATCACTGCCAGTACCCGTGCCATTTGGATCGTCGGTAGGATTGCCATCTGTACCACCTACGGGTGTTGTGTTATCAGGATGTTGTCCGTCGGGATCACTATGTGTTATACCATCTCCAACTCCATTAGGGCTATCTGTGCCGTCAACGCCGGGTGTTTGTCCATCTCCCTGACCATTAGGGCCGTTAACTGACCAGTTCAGGTCAAACGATGAGTTTTTACGTGATATGTCATCCAATTGGCTATCGCTATCGTGAACGTTATGCGACTCATTACTAGAATTGCCATCTGTCCCATCATTGTTCTGATTTCCACTGGAACCGTCCGGTGGATGAGTTGCATCACTACCAGCACTCGTACCATCCGGGATATCCGTATTTGTCTCATCAGTTGTGCCCATTGTACTAGTTTCGATTCCGGGAAACTCTTTCCCTTTCCAGGATTCATCTCCCGGAATGTCTGTGCCGTCCGGATGTGGGATATCTGTTGTCGGATTACTATTAACCCCATTAGGGTCACCATCGGGCACATCACCAGTTTTGGGTTTATCGCCGTCCACTCCATTTCCATTGCCGGGTGTATCCGTATTGTCTGGTTGTGATTTACCATCTCCAACTCCATCAGGCTGACCATCTGTCCCCTGACCATCACCTTTGGGTCTATTACCATCTGTTGCCCAGTTGAGGTCAAACGATGAGTTATGATGTGATTTGCCATCCCATTGGCTATGGCTATCGTGTATGTCATGCGACTCACTGCTGGAACTGCCATCTGTCCCACTATGGCCATTTTGGTTACTATTTCCGTCAGTACCGCCGGGTGTGTCAGTGGTGTCACCGCCAGCACCCCTACCATCCGGGTTATTAGTATCGGCACCTGTACCGGGTATACCCTCCGTACTTGTGTCGGCACCGGGTTTATACTTTCCCTTCCAGGACTCATCGCCGGGACTATCTGTGCTCTCAGTAGTGGGTATACCATTATCCACACCATTAGGGTCACCGTCCACTGGTCCATCTGGTTCACCAATAGGTGCCATTTGGCCACCACTTTGACCATCAGGAGTTTGATCTTCTAATACATCACCACCTATTGGTTCTAGTTTTTTCTGCCCACCTCCCTGTCCATCGGGGTCATCTGTTGGTGGTTTATCACCGCTAACCTCATTAGGCTCACCATCTGTACCAATACCACTATCATCACCGCTAGGGTTGCCATCTGTATCATCATTATTATCACTTTTAGGTTTATGCCCATCAGTTGACCAGTTTATATCAAACGATGAGTTGTGATGCCATTTGTTATCCCATTGGCTGTGGCTATCGTGTATGTCGTGCGACTCACTACTAGAGTTGCCATCTGTCCCATTGGCACCGCCGCCCGGTTTATATTTGCCTTTCCAAGAGTCCTGCCCTTTGCCATCCGTACCGTTCGCACTATCGGTCTGGTGCTGTCGTCGCCGGCGCTCGTCCTCCGCCTCATTCTCGCAGTCGTATAAACTCTGACCGGGTTTACAGTGATAACCATTGGGATCACCTGTTGATGGCTTACCACTACCATCGCCGGTAGAATCACCATCTGTTCCATCGCCAACACCCGCCGGGTTTTGAGGGTTGTTTGTTTCATCGCCAACACCAGCAGGTTTTGACGGGTCCCTATCGTTGCCATTTTCAGCACCTGGTGAATTTGCACCATCCACACTTTTGCCGTTATCCTGACCATCACTGTTAGGTTCGCCATCTGTCCCGTTACCACCATCATTACCACCTGGTCCGGGTTTATACTTCCCTTTCCAGGAGTCCTGTCCCTTGCCACCACCCTGTCCGTCCGGATCATCACCATCTCCAGTCCCACTAGGATTGCCATTTGTGCCATTGCCATTATTTCCACCTCGGTCCCCAGTTCCCCAATTTAGGTCATACGATGAGTTGCGATGTGTTTTACCATCATATTTACTATCACTTCACCATCTCCAGTCCCACTAGGATTGCCATTTGTGCCATTGCCATTATTTCCACCTCGGTCCCCAGTTCCCCAATTTAGGTCATACGATGAGTTGCGATGTGTTTTACCATCATATTTACTATCACTATCGTGTATGTCATGGGACTCGGAGCTAGAGTTGCCATCTGTCCCATCAACACCATTAGACTTATTGGTATCGGCACCCTCTCCACCTCCCACTCCATTGGGATCATCTGTTGATGATTTACCACTACCATCACCGGTAGGGTCGCCATCTTTTCCATCGCCAACCCCCACAGGATTTGTTGGATCATCTGTCCCATCGCCAACACCCGCTGGTTTTGTAGGGTCACCATCTGTCCCGTCGCCAACACCGGCAGGATTTTTAGGTTCATTAATCTCATCGCCAACACTCGCAGGTTGCGAAGGGTCGCCATTGGTTCCATTACCAGGGAATTGTTTGCCTTTCCACGAGTTTTGTCCATCTTTATCTCCTCCCTGTCCATCTGGATCATCGCCACTAGGTTTTCCACCTTCAGTGCCATTAGGATCACCATCTGTTCCGTCTGCCTCTTTGCCAGCTCCGGTGCCGTGTGGGTCACCAGTGGCCCAGTTTAGGTCAAATGACGAGTTGCGATGTGTTTTGCCATCCCATGTGCTATGACTATCGTGTACGCTATGCGATTCACTACTAGAGTGGCCATCAGTACTTCCCGAGTGGGCGCCTCTATGTAAGAATTAAAATTGTGATTTATTACTTATATAATTATATGCAAAAAATTGTATATAAAATAATTATTAATTAATAAAGTATTAATAAATAATGTATTAGTTAAGGAAATAACTTAAAAACTTAATCAAAAGTATCACGTAAGTATTTTCTCTACTATTTCATGGCAATTAAACTAAATATACATTATTGCAAATATATAAGTGACCAATATTATGTTAAATAACTAAACTAATCCTTTTAATAAAGGTCTAAACATTGTAAATACAAAAGCTGAATTTATCATATGAAAAACATGTTATATTTTATTGTTATTGGCACAATAAAATTATGTTATTATTTACTTTAGAACATTACTAGTTAATAATTTTTTATAAGGATATTTAAAAAACTCAATACAATAATAAAAATAAATACCCGGGTCTAGCCTGTCCACCATCTGTTCCGTCACCAACTCCCGCGGGATTATTCGGATCATGTGTTTTATCCCCAGTGCCCGCAGGTTTTGTAGGGTCGCCATCTGCCCCATCACCAACACCCGCAGGATTATTCGGATCATGTGTTTCATCCCCAGTACCCGCAGGTTTTGTAGGGTCGCCATCTGCCCCATCACCAACACCCGCTGGATTGTTCGGGTCATGTTGTTCATCCCCAGCACCCGCGGGTTTTGTAGGGTTGCCATCGGTTCCATCACCAACACCCGCAGGATTTGCAGGATTATCTTGCTCATCACCAACAGTGGCAGGGTTTGAAGGGTCACCATCTGTCCCATTACCAGGAAAATATTTGCCTTTCCACAAGTCTTGCCCTGTACCACCACCACCATCGGGGTCATCACCTGTCCCATTGCCATCTTTTGTCCATGGGCCGTTAACTGACCAATGTAAATCAAACGACGAGTTACTATGCGCCTTAACATTCCAATGAAACCCACTTTTGTCTTTGTTGTGTGCGTCGTCGCTAGCGCTGCCATCTGTCCCATCGGAACCACTGCTAATCCATAAAACATGCAACATTATCAAATTAATATTGATTTAATGACAGCGAATTAATCATAAGAATTAACTGTTCAGTCTTTTTACGTTCCGCCTCCTCTTCGGCCGCCTTAGCCGCCGCCGCTTTGCGCGCCTCCTCAGAGCCCGCCTCCGGTGGGGCGTTGTGTCCGTCACCGGCCGCCTCCTGTCCCGCCTGTGCCGCCGCCTCAGCCTTGCGTTTCTCTTCATCGGCCACTTCGGCCGCCTTTTTCTCTTTTTCCGCCTCCTCTTCGGCCGCCACCTGAGCCGCCTGTCTCTCGCGCTCCACCTCTTCGGCTCCGGCATCCGGCGGCCGATTCGCACCCCCTTTGGACGCCTCCTCGTCGCCCACCTGTGCCGACTCGTGCGGACCCGTTGGCTGCTCCTCCTGGCCGGCGGCCGGCGGAGCGCTGGGACCGTTGTCTTTGGCCGCCGCCGCCCCCTCCTGGCCCGCCTGCGCCGCCTGAGCCTTGCGTTGCCGCTCCTCTTCGGCCACCTGCGCCGCCCGGTGCTGGCGTTGCCGCTCCTCCTCGGCCACCATGGCCATTTGTCGGAGTTTTTCATTGTGCTCTTTTAGCCGCTGCGTGGCCCGTTTTTTATCTTTCTGTTTTTCGAACCATATACGATTTAGTTCTTCCTGGCTAGGTCCAAAATCGGGTGTAATTTGAGCGTAATTGAGCGCTGCACGCCGTCCGCCCGCACCGTTGGTCATCCTACCAGTGTATGGGCGCCGCTGTAGTGGTTGTTGGTTACTGTAGGCTTGCTGTGGGTCGGGTTTACCCTTATAAACGCCCCAGAATTCTGCGTTCGCCGACCGGTGCCGTGACTTTCGCCTACGACGATGATTTTGAATATGATTATGGTAAATGAGTTGCTGCGGTGGTTGGATATATCGTGGTCGTTGACCCCGTATATTATTGGGGTAAACATTTTGACCGTAATAGGTCGGGTAGTTAGGTCTGTTCTGATTGCCCCATGGTAGTGATTGCTGTGGCCGCTGTTGTGGTTGTTGATATAGTCGCGATTTGCCCAACCCATCCCAGTTCTGGTTATAGTAGTGTCCGCTGGCTAAGAATAAATATGACATTAAAAATGGGTTGGACACTGTTTCAGTATTTTTTAATTGTTAAAAATAGTATGCGTTACCGATGTATGCGCTGAATAACAGGAGCGTTGTTCGCGTGATGCCTGAATAGGACATTTAATGTTGCATTTATTTATATCATTTAGTTTGTTTTGGTTTTGACAAAATCGCGTATGGTATTAATTTATGAATGAAAATTTTATTATTACGTAATCCAATTAAAATCATGTGCACATTCTTACAGTATACTCTCTTTATAATTACTCAAATAAAATGAAACATAAATAAAATAGAACAAATTTTATTTAATAATAAAAAAAGTTTACAGTTTAACATTATAGAATTTTGCAACCATGGTGTGTGACATTAACATTGAGTAACAACATCAATTATGTCACCCCTTACTGCAGGTAAATCTAGCCAATCCAACCACCGGGTCCTTGGGCAGATGGCCACATCGGAATACTGTCCGTAATCTGTCTAGTATGACAATGACTGTCCTTGGTCGGGTCATTCTGACAATCGGCCGCCGCATCGACCTGCGCGCCAAAACCGCTCACTCTATGGTGGGGGTGGAGGTAGTGGTGCGGGATATCAGGGTAGTGGTGGGGGTGGTGTTCGTGCTCTCCGTGGTAGCCGTGATGGTGACCATGGTGGTGGTGGTGATGGTGAGGGTAGTGGTGTTCGTGATAATAACCGGGGTGCTCATCGTGGTGGTGGTGGTGTTCGTAACCCTCGTGGCCATAGTATGCGCTAACAATAGCTGTGCGGAAAGTGAAATGTAATAATTACAATTTTATGTTTTTGTGTAAATTATTCTGTTGATTAATAATGAACTAAAATTATCAGCATGGCTATTATAAATTTTATGTTTATAATAGGCATCGACTGTCACTTTATAAATGTCACACAAAACTACTACTTATAAATCAGTAGTAATTTACAGTATTTTACCGTATTATTCAAAAGTAGAATAAAAACCATGGATTGCAAAGACAAAACATATGTTTTATATAAAAAATATAGGCTGGGTAGATTTAGTAATTTTGTTGATCTAGTGAGTTATTTCATTATTAACCACACACATTTATAGTGGCTATTATACTTACCCACGAATGCGCATAATAATAAGCCGATTGTTAATGTCTTCTTCAACATGATGTTTTTATCTCTTAAAAATAAAAAACCATTTAAAAAACAAATATGGTTTTGATTAATGTTAATATAAATTATTTAATTAATATTATTACAAGTTTGACCAATAGCTGCCGTGATTAGATGAACATTGTGCTTTTCACTATTACTAGTTAATGTTAGAGAAGTTTAAATAAATAATATTAATATCTCTAGTACAAATAAACATACTAATTATTTGCGTAGTTAAAAAAATTAAACTAACTATTAATACTACTATTTATTAATAAAATAAGACAAAATACAAAATAAAATTAACAATAAACTATATATTTAATAAAATAACAATTAATAACGTTAGTGTAAGACATGTTGACATCATTTTTAGCATGTTATGCACTTGGGCCACATTGGAATATAATCGGTCCAATACCATGTGTGTCCATTGCGATCTTTAGTTTTATCTTGCCCAGGAGCTACCTCGACTTCCGCGCCAAAACTGCGCACCCGATGAGGGTGGAGGTGATGGTGGGGGAGACCCGGGTAGTGCTGATGATGGTGTTCGTGCCCTCCATGGTAACCGTGATGGTGGTGGTGAGGGTAGTGGTGGTGATAAGGGTACTGGTGCTCATAAGGGTATTCATTGTGGTGGTGGTAGTGTTCGTAACCCTCGTGGCCATAGTATGCGCTAACAATAGCTGTGTTTAGCAATGAAAAAGATTATTTTAAAATATTTTATGTGATTTATAATTGTTAACAACATTTATGTTGATTAATAATGAATTAAAATTGATGAATTAGGAATATCATAGCTAAATGTAAGTAGAATAATTTAGAATTAGGGGGTAGGTAGAAATAAAAATATTTTTATGTTTTTATTAACACTCACCCACGAATAGGCTTAGCAACAGGCTGATTGTCACTATTTTATTCAACATTGTTGTTTTCAATTTGCTTTTTATTTTTACAACAAATATGGTTTCAATTAATATTAATAATAATAATTAATTATTTTATAATATTATTATTAATCTAGTTAAGAGAGAAAGCAATAGATGGAATTATTAACACAACGATTTTTACTGTAATTAAGATTACAATAATAAAATAACTTTCGCACACTTAGCGTTGCCAAACAATATTTTAAAAATCATGTATTAATGTTAGAAAATTGCCAAAAATTCCTGTATTACAGCTTATTATCGGAATGTTTATTTCAGTATTCTTCAACGTACATGAAAATTTCTTCTTGTATTTAATGAAAATTTCTGTATAATACAGGAAATTTCTGTTTGTTTGGCAACGCTACGCACTTTATATAAAAAATTTAGTATGTAAATTTAATTAATAAATTATTATGCAACCTTATTAATTAACAAAAGCCATTTTATCATCAAAAAATTAAATAATGGCAAAACATACAACCATCATTATTTTACTAATAGGCAAGTACTAATAAAATAATTATTGGTAAAATTTAGTAATTAGTTGATTGATTAATTAATTTATCCAATAGGCTCGATAGGGGTGGGCAGTGGTCGCGACACCGGGCGCCGGGATGTGACCGACGACGACGAGATTGACTAC